CTACAGAGTACATGAACATCATTACAAATGATTCCAATCAAAGTACATTTCCTTTCAGAATGTTGCTATGTTTTTTCTTCTTCTCATTTTACCCTTGTTACAAGCCCAGTCGTATGAAATATCTTATTCACCTACGATACTTTGACATGATATAAAAAGTGTGACAGTCCGTATATCATGGTATAACTAATGGTGATCGGACATAGATTTGGGTGGTTTCCAGGCAAAGCCACTATTTGGCTCTCTCTCTCTCTCTCTGTTAAAAAGGTCCAGGGTCCATGAGTAAACCCATATCGTTTACATAAAATAAGATAAGAAAAAGAAGAAGAACAGAAATTACTACACACACAATAAGTTCTACAACACAATGTTTTTAATTTAGCCTATTTCCTACATGATGTATTAATGACATTATTATTTCATGGCTATAGTAATTTTAAAGAATATTAAAATAATCCCTCTTACACGTCAACAGGATCAATCAGACCATGTTGTTCATGTCAGTGATAGTTGAGTTTCGGTATAGAGGGCGCTGTCCATTTTTTTGGGGGGGGGGGGGGGGGGGGGGGTTGAGATAATGACAAACTGAGTGTCAACTTCGAAAGAGCATACAATATAGATGACAACATCCTCTTTGCTCAAAATCGGTTAAAAAACGGCTGAAATATCCGTAAATATGACCATTTCTAATATTTGTGGGGCTCCACAAATATTCGCTAATTTTGAACCAGGCGTTAAAGACAACAAAATGCTTACACTAACTTCTTTTAATTAGCTGTTGATGATGTTCCTATTTAACCATTATTTTAAAACAACACAACATAACATGCATAATTTTATTATTAAAAATGGTTGAAACCAATGACTTTTAAGAGAATGCCCACATTGTGGTTTAACGGCTCTCTTAATTGTCAACGGGTTTATTACTAAATCGTTTGTAATTTGTTTATACCTTTCGAGCATGATGCAGCTTTAAGTATTAGTTTGAAATGTAATGGTGCAGGTTTTGGTTTCTCACATTCAGTTTGACCAAAACTGTACTTTCCATACCAAAACTCAACTATTCCTAAATCAATCTTAAGTTGATTCTCCGTTCCGCTACAAGTTAAGAAAGTAATTGCCCACAATGTCATTGGCAGACTAAAATATAATAATGAGTTTTGCAGGAATTTCCATCTTGAAAAGAATGTCAAAAAGGACTTTTTGATTCGATGACTATTTTGCTTGGTGTGTTTTGAACAGCAAACATAACAAATTTCCCGTATAAACTACGCACGCACCCACCCACACATTCTCCTTTTTGCTTTTCCGTAATTTGTATTTGTATTTTTAGAACAATACAAATAACTCTCAAAATATAATTCGTTTTCATCCTAATATTAACATAGTTCGATTAACTCGATACATGTAAAAATCCCAAAATACGATCGTGTTTTTGTTTGGAATGATATCAGTTATTATATAACACTAATTATAACCCCTTCCCTCATTACCAAACCCCAAACAAAACACCACCTCCACACATGCAAAAGAACACACACACACGCACACACACCAAATATACACACACGTACACACACGCATACACGTATATACATATATATAAACATACATATTAATGTTCAGATATCTCCTCGGAGTTCGAGAAAATACACAAGAATATCGAGAAAATACACAAGAATATACGAAATAATGATGCTCCTTACATGCATAATTTGTTTTTTAAATTTTCGCTCTTAGGGCTATCTGTCTGTAATTATTACTAGTTTAACTTATTAATTTTGTATATGTCCGTTGGGGACCCCACTGGAAATAAGCTCTCGAGCTTTCGTGGGTTATACTCTTCAAGCTGACTAATTTTGATCTGTTATTCTTGTATATTGTATGTTGGAAGCTTGGAAGCTAAATGCGTCTAGGTGCAAGGAGAGGGGACACGAATAATTTCAATGAAAAGTTGATGTGATTTTCGTTAAACAAAATATATAAATGAAATTAATGATCGTTTCTGTACAAGTCAATAGGCTAACACATTATGCTGCGGGACTTCGCCAATAGGAGGCGCTGTTCAATGAGACTGGTCGTAGGTATATGCTTCTTTGCTCTGTTTTTTTCGTTCATAGTAGAAAATACTAATCACCCTTTCCCGATGCTGGGTTGTATATAACGTGATAAAAGAAGTTCTCTAATTTCCATTTTTTTTCACCCGCACATTTCCTTAGTCTGTATGTACATCACGTCTATTCAAATTCTCTCAATCATTTAGACCGCTTATTATCATTTGTAAAATACATAATTTAAAATGTCTCTCCCTTTGTCATCTTCTTCCATTCATATCCATTTTCCTTTTCGTATTTCTATGTCTTAAAAATCTCTTACTTTATTATCTTTTCACGTTCTGTCACTCTTTTGTTTTCCTCTCTTTTAAATGATCTCACTCCCTTTCATTCACAGATTCCCTTCCTTTGTAACCTTCTCATATTGTTGCAATCTTGATCTGAGTCTTCCTTTCAAATTATATCACTATATCATACATCTCTTTCATGACAAATTTCTTTCATTTAAATCAATATCTCCTCACATTCTTTCACTCTTTATCTCTTCCTTTCGAGTTCTCTTTCTAAATCATACATTTCTTTGTTTACACCTTCTCTCAATTTCTCCTCTCCACTCTTTCTTATGTGCTGTGTATCTCTCTTCTTCTTACTCAAACAAACACAATTGACAGGATAGTAACTGAAAGTACATTATTGCACGTCAAACAAACATTTATTCACTAATGCTACTATTTCAATGACTTTAGATAATAACTCATCCTGTAAAATGGGCAACACCATTGTTTCAAGATTCACTTTATTAACATCAGCTTTACTTGCGGCAAATATTACCATTAGTTTGGAAAATAACAGTTATAGTCCTAGCAATAGTCATGATAATAATAAAAATAATAATAATAATAATGATAATAATAATAAAATCAACAATACTCGGACGATTAATATTATTATCAAAAGATAAAGCGCCCATCAAATTGTTTCTTGTTTTTTTAATATCGTTTAACCTGCTCTTTTAAAAACCTATGGCAGTTCTGAAATTGCAAAAACACTGTTCATTACAATTGCCCATTCACGAACTAAAATGTACCCTCGTACCCTCACCATCGACAACATTTCCACAATGCATTATTTTATGATAAAGATGGCATTAATCTTGCCTTCATTATTAATAAAGCTCGATAAAAAAATCTTCTCATTCGCTTTTAAAATGTGTGTGTCTTTTAGGTCATGATCGGTCATGTTCGTGTTTGATACTAACGGTTTTACTCTTTCACACAAATCTGGCATAAGTGGATGTTGACATGGCATTTCAGAAACAATGTTGCTCAGTGAAACGTGTATAGATTAATGTAATCAATGTATCATTGGAAAGCGTATTACTTCTTCTCTATGGAAGCAAGGCATCTTATGATACAGCTCCAATAGACTTATACAAAGTTACAAACAGTGACAAAAGAACGAAAAGCTGATTATATATAATTCAAAAAATTGGGGGGTTGGGTATTCATTTGCCCCCATCTAGGGGTTCAGTTGCAATCAGTGGTGCAACCAGGTGGTATGAAAAATTGAAAGAAACAAATCCAATTTTTATATCCCCACTTATTTTTCGCATATGTATCTATATTGTGTGGAGCAATCATCATCTTGCCAACTATATCGAATACTCTCAAGCCCTTTATAAACATGAACGTACATTCGAAAACAGTTAAAATTCTCGTTAAACGAATAATCGTTTAAGTTACTATATACAAGTGTTGATCCGTCTAGCCACCTTGCCTCAATGATATTTGTGCCGGTCAGGCCGATCCAGTAGTCCTCGCTGGCTTTCCCTTCAATGAAGTCCTGTTCCTCTTGCGACTCGATGAAGACCAGATGGGATCCGTATTGGGAACAAGCTGAAACCGCAGAAGCATGATCCATCTTGCTAGTGCTGAAATTGTAGAACGACCCGCCGTATTTACAATCCACCGGAGGGGATGAGCATGCTGAAATTATTGTTTAAAAACAACAATTTTTAAATTGCTCAATTTTAAGAAAGTAGACAAAAATAATTAGTTGGGTAGAATCTGAAATACTCAAAGAAAAATAGATAATAATTATGATGATGACGAAAATAATAATAATATTGATAATGAAATAATAATACTAAAAGTAGATTTATGAACAAAACTACAGTTATGATAATCAATACCTACAGAGACTTTGCTCACCATCGCAAATAACAATTTTATTTTATACAGTTATTTTTGTTTTTATGAATGAAAGAGAAGGAGGAGGAGAGGAGGGAGAGAGCAAGCGAGAGAGAGAGAGAGAGAGAGACAGACAGACGGACAGAGAGAGAGAGAGAGAGAGAGAGAAGAGGAGAGTGGTAGTGGCAAGACCCATTATAACGATGATCAAATGCATGACGCCACTGTATTGTTTCTATTACTCAGAGTCAGATAAAGACTGAAAGAGTGACAATAATACTCTATTCCGAGGCGCACTAATTATTACACTGGCTTTAGCCTAGCTGCCATTACGGTACTCCAGTATTTCAATGAATTAATTCCTATATATACCAAGTACCGATTTACCTCACATGGGTCGAGTGTGGCAAATGAAGATTAGCTGCCATTACGGCGCTCTAGTATTTCAAGGAATTAATTCCGATAGGTTCCCATTTATCTCATCTGGGTCGGGTGTGGCGAATGGAGATTGATGCCTTGCCAAAGGACATTAATGCCGTGATTGAACCACGACCTTTGAATTTCAAGTCAAATGCTTAAACCACTCGACTGACACACAAAGATGAAGAGAGAGCGAAAGAGGGATGGAGGGGGTGGTCGGTGAATAGGGAGGGGAGAAAGAGGAAGAGTGGGAGATAGGTAAGAGAGGGAAGGTGTAGTTGCTTGACACATTATAATAATGATCGAAAGCATGACATCATTTCATTGTTTCTCTTACTTACTGGAGGTGGTGGTGTCTTGCGATGTCGTTGTGGCTGACACCGTGGTCATAGGCCTCGTAGCCGTCTTGGTCGCCACGTCCGTAGCTGACTCTGAAACGTTTGAAGGTTGTTGCAAATGAAACCATACTTACAAACCAATGAGATTATGAATGACAACCTAAACATGATTATATAAGACCAAAGCCAAGAAAGTTTTGCTCCATGACAACATATAAATTGTATCAGTCTATTTTTTTTAATAGGTATTATTTGTGTTTGTAGATTTAGTGGTGCTTTGTCAAAGCCCAAGTAAATTTTGTCCAATTAATATATCTAAATGTGTTCCTGTGGCGTGTTTGTTGTCATTAAACTCGTGGGCAAACGAACGAGACGGGTACCTCCTCCTAGCGAAGCCCGTGACAGGAAAAGCATAAAGGCTGAGGGGGGGGGGGGGGGGAGAAAGAGAGGGGAAAACATTTTCTTAGTCAGGGTACGGGGATAGGATCAAGAGGGGGGGGGGGATAGAAATCAGAAAATGCTTTTCCTGTGAAAATCCCAATTCTATTAAAAATTTTGAAAAGAGGACCGCGAAGTATTTTCTTTTTAATCATTATCATCATCATCATCTTCTTCTTCTTCTTCTTCTTCTTCTTCTTCTTCTTCTTCTTCTTCTTCTTCTTCTTCTTCTTCTTCTTCTTCTTCTTCTTCTTTTTCAGTTGCAGTACCGGCCACCGTCTTGTATTGTCGTACTGGTAAAATTACCGGCACAATTTGTATCATCACGTACTTAGTCAAAAATTATTCTTTCACATGATTGGTAATAAGAGCTTCCATTACATTTTTGTTTAGAAGGGGCGTTTCCAAAACTGGTTATAGCTTACATTGCAAATTTTAGGAAATTCACAATGTTATTTCTTATATATTTGTTTGTTTGTTTATGAATGAAAGAGGGGAGGAGAGGAGGGGTGGGGAGGAGAGGAGGGGTGGGGAGGAGAGGAGGGAGGGAGGGAGATAGAGAGAGAGAGAAAGAGAAAGAGAGAGAGAGAGAGAGGGAGGGAGATAGAGAGAGAGAGAGAGAGAGAGAGAGAGTGGAGAGTAGTAGTTGCTAGACCTACCACTGAATTTATTGCATTGTTTCTCTTACTCAGAGTCAGATAAAGACTAAAAGAGAGATGAAGAGAGAGAAAAGGGGAGGGGTGGAGGTTAGGTGGCCAGTAGAAGGAGACGGGTGGTGAAGGGGACGGGATAGAGAGAGGAAGAGAGAGAGAGAGAGAGAGAGAAGGAGAGAGAAAGAGAGAGAAGGGGGTAGTGGCTAGACAAATTATATTAAAGATCAAAAGCATACTTACTGGAGGTAATGGTGTCTTGCGATGTTGTTGTGTCTGATATCGTGGTCGTAGAACTCGTCGTAGACTTGGTCGTCGCGTCCGTAGTCGATAATTCTGCTGACTCTGAAACGTTTGAAGGTTGTAACAAATGAAACCAAAAATACAAAGCACTGAGATTATGAATGACAACCTATACATGATTGTAGAGGACCAAAACGAAGAAAATTCTGCTCCCTGACAAAAAATAAATTGTGCTTGTAGATTAAGTGGTGCTTTGTCAAAGCCCAATTAAATTTTTACCGAATAATTTATCTAAATGTGTTTGTTGTCATTAAACTCGTGGGCGAACGAATGAGACGGTTACCTGCCTCTAAATAAGGTTTTAGCGACGCCCGTGACAGGATAGAGATAAAGACTGAGAGAGAGAGATAGAGAGAGAGAGAGAGAGAGAGAGAGAGAGAGAGAGAGAGAGAGAGAGAGAGAGAGAGAGAGAGAGAGAGAGAGAGAGGGGGGGGGGGAGGGGGTGGAGTGAGAGAGAGAGAGAGAGGGGAAAGTTGTTTCTCTTACTGGATGTTGTGGTTACTTGCGATGTCGTTGCCTCTGATCGTTCCGGCATCGTGATCGTAGGGCTCGGCTCGGACTTGGTTTTGGCTTCCGTTTTCACCGAATCTGAACGGAATAAAAAACAAAGACAAAATTGTTCAATGAGTGGGGGGAGCTGGAGTCAGGGAATGATTTGGATATAGACAGACAGAGACAAAGAACGCGCGAAGAGTTTAGAAGAAGATAAAGACTGAAAGAGAGAAGAAGAAAGAGAGAAAGGGGGAGGGGTGAAGGGAGTGGTCGATGAAGGGTGAGGGTGGTGAAGGGGGAGTGGAAAGAGAGAATAGGAGAGAGAGAGAGAGAGAGAGAGAGAGAGAGAGAGAGAGAGGGGGAAGGGGTAGTGGCTTGACACATTATAATAATGATCAAAAGCATGACATCATTTCAATGTTTCTCTTACTTACTGGAGGCGGTGGTTTCTTGAGATGTCGTTGTGTCTGACACCGTGGTCATAGGCCTCGTAGATGTCTTAGTCGCCACGTCCGTAGTCGATGATTCCACTGACTCTGAAACGTTTATACAAAATGAAGCCACACGTTTTAAGTAATAACATTAGGAATGACACCTCAACAGGAATAGAAGGCCAAAACGAAGAACATTTTTTAAAAATAAACTTTAACAGTTTATTTATTTTATGAGGACTGTATAGTTTGTGTCAGGACATTTGGGTTTAGTGGGTCTAAGTCAAAGGGTCTTATTTTGCCAAATCATTTATCTAAATGTATTGATATGGCGTGTCTAATTGTTGATAAACGCGTGGACAAAATAATTAGACGGTCACTTATCCCTTAAACAAATGTTTTACCGACGCCCGAGATAGGAAAGGACTTTTAAAAAGTCAGATAAAGACTGAGATATACAGATATAAAGAGAGAGAGATAGAGAGAGAGAGAGAGAGAGAGAGATAGAGAGAGACAGACAGAGAGAGAGAGAGAAAGGAGAGAGAGAGAGACTATAGTGGCTAAACCTAGAGGCCCGAATTCACAAAGGAGGTTTGTCGACAAACCTCCTTGAATTCGGGCCATATTGATATTAATCACATGACGTCATTTTAATGTTTCTCTCACTGGAAGTTGTGGTTTCTTGCGATGACGTTGCGTCTGATCGTTCCGGCATTGTGACCGTTGGGCTCGTCGCGGACTTGGTTTTCGCTTCCCATTGTGAACGAAATGGAAACAAATGTATTAAATTGAGTGGGGAAAAGGGAGCCGGAGTTAGGAAATGATAACAAATCAGCATCAAGAACGTTGTCGTTAAACTTATAGGCAAAATATATATTAAAATAATTAACGTACACTGTCCCCTTCTAAAGTGTTTTAGCGACGCTCCTGAAAGAAGGACAAATACAAATAAGACTATAAAAATAAGAATTAGACGGTCACTCCCCCCCCCCTCCTTAAAAAGATGTTTTAGTGACGCTCGGAAAGGACCGAAAAAAGTATAGAGATATCGACTGCTTCAGTCGTTAAACTGGCTGTTAAATAGGCTCAAGATGTGCAAGCTCTCGAGAGCCTATACATCAGCCAGACCTCGAATATTAAAGCAGTCGTTATGTCGTTATGTCTTTTATGCTGAATTAAAACAAAAATCTACCAAGAATTCTTACCTTATTCTTTTATTGAGTAAAGATCGGTTAAAACATCACGGAAAATCTGAGAAGCTTTCTGTTTATCTTTGTTTAGCTGTGTCCGTGTCGCACAAAGGAAATTTTAACACTAATGCCTCAGTCACACCTTTGCGTATTTGGCTTGCGTATTGCTGCGTATTACCCGAACGCAGACAAAGGCAGTCATTCCCAATAAAGCGCAATAAAACGTGCTCACTACGTACTCAATACGCAGACTAGCGCAAATGCCTGCGTTGCTCGCTCGCATGTTTTAATTTTTTCTAAACTATCGCAAGCAAACGCAAGGTCAAATCACATACGAGCGGATACGAGTGGCAACCAGTGAATGCGAGCGACAACGAGTGGCTTAGCGCAGGTATACGCAATCAAACGCACCTCTTTTTCGGAGTACGTGTCACTGCCTATAGCTACGTTTCCTGCACGATTTACCTCGCTTTAGCTCGTTGTCGGACGCATGATTGCGCGTATTGTTGCGCTGTTGCTCGCACACCGCTCGCAGCAGCAAGAACCCTTGCGATTGCCGCTCGCTGTGCTGCGTGTCTAGCTCGTACGCCGCTCGCTTTAGCTCAAAGTCGCTGGTTGCTGCTCGCTTTAGCTCGCTATCACTGCGATTAGTTGCCTATGCGCTGCATATCGGGGCGGGGCGCCTCACGGGTTGGAATCATACCGCAGTCAAAATTTGAAGAAGATACACAAGAAGATGCAGAAAGCCAGTCATTGGTCCAGTCATTGCAACAGTCTTTTTGTTGAACTCGTAGGAATAATGTTTTAACTGAGATTTACATTCTTCGCGAGAACTGTGATAACTGGCAAATTAAACAGTGAGGAAACGGTTGCTGAAGGTCAGGTAATGTCGTCAATGCCGAGGGTTTGGGCTGGTGATATCCAGAGCATCTGGACTGCATGACTCCAACATTTAAATCTTTGACTCCTGCCAGGGAACAGAACTAGCAGGGCTGTTGTATTAGGCATTTATATAATTCCTTTGAACCTGCCATGACCTGCCTGAGTAGCCGAGCGACCTCTAGCCGGCTGACTAAGACTGGCTATAGGGTCTGTTCTCCTCGCCAGGAACCGGGCAGTATACACGGCGTCCTCCCCGTCCATGGCTGATTTCTGGATGCAAGGGTAGTGGGTTCTCATCAAGTTGTGCAGGCATACACATGCCTGTACCATGGTCCTGACGGTTGAAGGGGTTTGTCGGAGAGGGATCACCAGGCACTAAAATCGGTTGGCAAGAATGCCGAAAGCTTGCCTGAAGAAGGTGTCCTGCTTCTCCAGTCTTTCATGTAGTCTCTGCTCTAACTCTTTAAACATTTTAGGGTTACTCTCAAAAAGTTAGTGAGTGCCTCTTGGTCCTCGTCTTCCAGCTCCCTCATCAGTTGGTCAAATTGTCCCTGGTCCTTCCTCCGGCAGATCCAGGACCGCACCCAACAACTCCGGGGGATACTTCGTTGATGCAGCTGAAGCAGCAGCTTCCCTTGCTCATAATCTTTATTCGCCTCTTCTTCCTCTAACTGAACAAAAAGCTTAAGCTTTTGCGAAGCAGAGCTCTGCTGCAAGGCCATTGTTGTCATCAGATTTATTTTTCTTGTAGATGTAGAATCTTCAGAAGCTAAGATGTTTATGCCCAGTCCCGCAAAATAACTAGTATCTATACATATGCCGCAGCCCGAGCGAGCTGGTACGCTGAAGCGCGAGCTGGCACGCATCAGTACGAACAACAGACGAGCTAAAGCGAGCGAACACGCAACGAGACCAACTTGTGCGAGCGGCTAGCGAGCAGCAAACGAGCAAGGATCGAGCTACATACGCAACATGGCGAGCAAGCTGCGTATTGAATCGTACTGCTATGAGCAACAGCGAGCTATAGCGTGGTCATAGGCAACCGCAGGCAACCGTAGGCAGTCTTTGTACGAGCAGCATACGAGCTACCTACGAGCTAGATACACAATAGTGTGACTGCTACCTTCAAAATTGCTGCGTATTGCTGGGCACGGCTGCGTATTGATATACCCCGCATAGCGCAGCCATACGCAGCAACATACGCAAAGGTGTGATTGAGGCATTAAACTACAGTGGGTATGGCAGCAAAATTTTACTATTTTCATGGTAACTGGAATTTTGAGGGATCTCACACTTGGACTATTAACCGGTATTGGCATTTTTTTTGTTTCTTTACGGGAATGGCTAAAATCACGACTCCAATTTCGACCAATCAGATGGCTGGATTTCTTAAGTGAGGTATATAAAATCAGATAAAGACCGAGAGAGAGGGAGAGAGAAAAAAGGGGATATAGTGGCTAGACCCATTATGATAAAAATCAAATGCATGACGTCATTTCCATGAAGCTATTGCCTAGACATACCAGAGGTAGTGGTGCTTTGAGAAGTCGTTGTGTCTGAGCGTTCCGTCATCGTAGTCGAAGGGCTCGTCGTAGGCTTGGTCGTCGCTTCCTGCGTTGACTCTGTGAAGAAGAAAAAAACATGGGGTAGATGACAAGGCATAATATTTACTCTGAAATTATCTTACCGCCGGCTGTCTCCAGGTGCTATTGGTCAGGCAGAGGGGTATGATCAAAGCCGGGGGGGGGGGGGGGACAAATAGAAATCGGAAAACATTTTTCCTGTGGGAATCCCAATTCTATCAACAAAGTCCGAAAGAGGACCGCGAGCATTTTTTCTTCTTAAACTTCATATTTTACTTCTTCTTCTTCTTCTTCTTCAGTTGTAACTACTGAATTTTCGTTTACCCCCTGTAGAAAGTCTCTTCATGCTCATTGTGCATTAATTAGCCACCCTCCCCATCCCCCGATACGCCTACGTTGATATTACACCTACGTTCATCGCAGTGTTTCCCTTGAAACCCACTTGAGCAGGTACAGTTGTAGCCTACCATAGTCTCCTCACACCAGCCGTTTTTACAGAGATTTTTGCTACAATCTGCGAAATAAGTAATAAACGGGATAAAACTCAATATTGATTAACAAATTATCATTACACTTTGTTCTGTTTGGTGTGAAAAGATATATTTTCGGGATTTTCACAAATTAACATAAAAAAGATAAGCAAGACTAATGATAATGCATTTTTAACTGGGCTTAAACATGTCAAACGCCACGGAGACCATACTCCATAGCCATCGGATACCCATTTCATTGTTGTCAGTGCCCATTCTCTAATACACTGTTTTGCCTGGTGTAATTCACAGCCCTTCCCGACTATTTTTTTGATAAATCCCCCGTTAATTGTTCCTGGCTTTATTTTGACAAAGGTTTATGGATAGGGTAAGAGTTACAATTGGCTTTAAGGTTAGGATTAGAGTTAGGGTCAGGTATAGTGTTTGTTACAGTTACAGACAAAACCTTTTCATTAACAACAAAAAAACTACTCTAAAAGAAAGCAGAAATATCAGAGAAGCAGAAATATCAGAGAAGCAGACTAGTGAAAGTACGAATGGAATCGGATAAAAAATAAGAAATTTTGTTGAACACACAAAATGACTAAAATGTCAATTTTTCCAAATGTTTGACTCTGGGGGGCCTTTCCATTTGAGCGAACCGATGATAATATGCTATCCGAAATATATTTTGCCTACTGCCCCAAGGGAGATTGCAATTAAAATAAATAGAAATTAACCATTTTATCGACGACGAACGGGAAAGTTGTCCATGACTATGTCACAATCAATTGGAGATTGGCATATATTTAGTGATCTCATATTTCAATCATTCATAACTCCCTTGAAGTTAATTCGATTTATTTATCTACTTTCATACAAATGAATATTCAACAAGATTTGGATTCCCCTTCAAGAATGCGGTTAGTGTCTAATAGAAATTAACGTGGAGCAATTTTCGTCAGAAACAAGTGTCGTACAACCTTGGCCTTTTTTTAGATCTTCCTACGTACCTGTACTGTAATAAAAGAAATCGTGATATAGAAAAAGCGGCCTAAAAATAAAGAAATTATTTGAAACCGAGACCACGAAGTTTGCCACTGGTTTTTCTAGCACTTAACAATTATTTAAGCCCATCCATTTAGGCCTTAATTCAAGTGAGAAAACGATAATTATTTCACACTGTTTTCAAATTCTGGTACTTGATAGCGAAGGGGAAAACGAGAATATTATTTGGTGAATACTAATTCACAAATATTGTTGCTCGTCTCGCATCAGAACATTGTTTTCCTAGATAATTTGATGTTCCTTTCATTATTTTCGATAGATTTTACTAAACATCTAGAGAGGAATTTCAAATAGTAGTAGTAGTAGTAGAAGTCGTAGAAGTCGAATTAGTAGTAGTAGTTGTACACTACAAAAACCAGAGTGTTAGAATTAACACCAAGGGTGTTAAATTTAACACTTTCTTGGTATCTATATCGGACAACTCCTCTGGTGTTACTTAACACCATTTTCTGGAATTAGATAATTTCAATTCCACTTTTAGTGTTAATATTTGACAACTCCTCCTGGTGTAGATTAACACCAATATCTGGAATCATAAAAAAATTAAATTCCACTCTT